GTGTGTGTGTGTGTGTGTGTGTGTGTGTGTGTGTGTTTATGCGTATATGTGCGTATGGCTTTCGTTTGTATACCTTACCCGAAATAACCTGGTTCATTGTGGCCACTGTTTCCGAATGTTGCTAGATTATAGTATTCCAAAATTCCATACAAAGGCAAATCATTATGACATCTTCTGCTATTGGGCGGTATAATCTGTCGAAACATAATATCAGAAGTGAACTGACTGTGTAACATCGACTATATGGTTGCTTCTGGTTTACGACATAAATTAATGATTTCAGAAGTGAATTGACTATATAAATTTGACTGAATGTTTGCTTCTGGTTTACAACATAAAATTTATGAATACAGAAATGAACTGACTGTATACTTTTGACAAAATGCTAGCCTCTGGTTTACTACAATAATTGTATGAATATATGGCGCCAAAATCAAGGGAAGGATAATAGCGGAGTCTACAAAATCGGCTGGCGTGTTCAAGTCTAAATACACTTTTTAAGTGTCCGATGAATTAAGTCCACAACTCACACTGATGGTTCTTGCCAGTTTGGTACCCTGTGCACCATGAATTGAGATCACACTTCCACCGGCAATCAGAGCCGGAAAGTTTAACTAGCTTGTAATAGTCCTCATCGTTGTCATGTTTCCCATTAGTACCGCGGCAGGCGCGGTTCTCATCTACATCGTATTGGTACATTTTGTAATTTGGCATCTCTGGGTAGTATGTTTCCTTGACATAGCATGAAAGGTCGCGATTGTCTTGTAGTACATCACCTATCTCGGAATTCCACAATTCACAGTGTTTGTCCTGGCCGGTTTCGTATCCTGTGCATTGATCATCGTCCTCGCAATATTCGCGGCACTGGCTGGGAGAAGCTCGGATGCGCTCGTAATAGCTGTCCTTGTTGTCGTGCTTTTCGTGTGTACCACGACATGCTTGATGCTTGTAAACCTCAAATTTATATTGGGGCTCTACAATGGATCTAGCATCCCTGCCGTCAGCCGCAGGTGCAGCCATGGCGAGATTGTCTGAGCGGTAATGATAGTAATAACGGAGGCTTTCATTTTGTTTGAGGGTTTGGCGTATGTTTGTGTGTTGTGCGTAGGTATAATGAACCCTGTGTTGTCTTCGTTGTCTCTTTTATACGCTGCCAGCTGAGCCATGTGCATGGTGCGGGTTAAAAGTTTGTAGGTTGCAACAAGTCGGAATTTCAATATAATTTTGTGACCCTCCACATTTTGTTGTTTTCTTAAAACAAACCCCCCCCTTTACAAACTCCAAAGCCTGTGTCGTGATGTCACCATGGCGTAGCACAGAAAACGTAGGATGCTATCATTGCCATGCCTCTTATAGACTATTTTCCACCAGTGATATTCAAGTCTTTCAGGATGCTTGTACTGAAATTCCTAAATACACCAATATGATACGCCAATAGCAATGACGTCATTAAATTCACAACTTTGATTTCTATTTTATCCAAATCTAAAAACTGTATATAAAATCCAGAACCTATATGCTATGTATAATCATTTTATTTGAATTTATGGCATGTGTATGCATAACTTCATATTTATGCACCTTGTCAACTAATATTCACAAGTGAAATTGACCTTTGAACGCTCGTACTTTTTTGGCGTCTGCATGTACATAGCAAATTAAGAACACTCAGGCGAAGGTATATCATACAGCGGTGGATGCTGTCAACTGCGCAAATGTAACAAAAACGATACGAAGGGGCAATGATAACTGATGTTACTTCTAAGGTCACCGCTTAACACCGGTGTCACCAGGTGAGTAGTAAACTAGTACGGGATGTGTTTTAAGATTGTGAATTTTGCACAGTTCAGTTCTTAGTTGAGCGACACACTCGTGTAATTAAATGGACTCTAAAACTTTGACAAATTTTACTTCTCGCGTGTTGGCATAATCCTATGCGGCGTCATTTCCTATGAAGATGTGATAGATAATATTTAGATACAAAAAAACTGGCACCATTGTGAACACCCTACCCGATTAACGCTATTTAAATTATACTATTCCGAAAATCCCAAAAGGAAATCAGTATGGCATCTTCTGCTAGTGTGTGATGCACTCTGTCGAAGCATTTTATCAGAAGTGAACTGACTGTATACCATTGACTAAGTATTTGCTTGTGGTTTACAACATCAATTTGATGGCTACAGAAGTGAACTGACTGTATACCATTGACTAAGTATTTGCTTGTGGTTTACAACATTAATCTAATGATTACAGAAGTGAACTGACTGTATACCATTGACTAAGTATTTGCTTGTGGTTTACAACATCAATCTAATGATTACAGAAGTGAACTGACTGTATACATTTGCCACACGCATGCGTATTGTATCTCGATATCGCGAAGTAAATATGGGTCTTTTCTTTCAATTGTGAATTGTGTAATATCTTAGTGCTAGATTTATGTTCATCACTTGCCGCATTGTTATTTAACCAGCGAAAGGTGTTTGTCCTACGATGATAATAATATTTACGATGTAATGTGATCTGAGAATCAATGCCTATGTTCTGGCCGATTTGGGCGGGCTTAGACCATTCGTCAAATAACGCCGGTGAAAGATGATGTGTGAATACTGCGCCGAAGTACGCTAATCTTTGACAAAATTGGTATACGCTATATAATTATCTGTCCTTCAAAACTATAACGATTATGACTGTATGCTACAATGGCGGACGCGCACCTTCAGATCATTGTGCCTGCTGCATGCAATACTGTCGTTTGTTGTAGCGAACCCCATGACTGTGGCGTATGCAGCGCGGGAAATTCCCTGCATGTCCAGTACATGACCCATTCATCACTCAGATTTACCATCTAGTGTTCTATTTCTCCTTGATGCTATCTACCTATCGTACAATCCGATAGCAAGTAGCGCTCCGAAATCACCGCCTTCATACCCTACCATCAGCAGTTTTTCTTTTAAGAAATCGAGGCAATGCTAGTGCTCTGGTGTCGCAACAGACTCTCCTATCCTACTCTCCAGAAATTTATCAACTATCTGATCGGCTGCAGATCCCGCCGGAACCTCGCCTCGCATTACACGGCCCTCAAGGTCGCGCAGTATTTGACGTACTCCCGGGTCTGCATGTAGTCTAAATCAGGCATGGAGGTGGAAAACATATATAGAGTGGCAGGCATTTAAGCATATGAGAGGAAAGCTTTGTTTGAAGTATAAGAGCTGACTGTGTAGCAAGTTGTCGGCAGTGTTCAATATAAAGAGAACCACAACAGAGGCGGATACTCTCTTCTCAGAGTAGAAATGCGGTCCAACTCCACAATGACGATCTAGATTGCCAAGAGAGTTACTTTTTGGTGGCCGAACCTACTGAGTATTTTGCGCGATACACTATGATTGCTTATCCTACTAGCATAGAAAAAGCAATGCTAACGTACGATCCTGAACAATTGGAGACTATGTGATTGATATAAAGCAAAGAGGTATATTACCGAGCTTAGCCGTGCATAGATTTCCAATGGTACGCGAGGATACAAGAAAGCGTGCATCGATAGTCGATTCTGTATCGTTCACGAAAGTGGCCGGGCCAAAACTGACACTCACGACATTTAGAGCTGTTTAGCCAAATCATCTGATTTCGTGCAATGTGTCGGCAGCATTCACTATGCAGTCTTCTGCAACTATACACGTAATAAAAGCGCGCGTTTGTAATACACTTACAGTTCCATAGTGTTGGCTTGAACGTACGACCACATGTGCACTTGGTTTTGTTGCCGTCGCCTTTGATTCCACTCACCCGTTTCCTGATATCGGGAGCATGTTTTTCGGGTTCAGGTAAAATACGGTCTACGTGTAGGAGTGGGTTGTGGTTGACACACTCTCACTGTAGATGCGTTGATAATCAAATGCGGCTTGTGGTCAACACGAAATTCAAGAAAGTTGTGGAATGGAAGCGAAAAAAAGCGACTGCAGGACAACGAGCAGGCATATCAGAGGTGTGAACAGTACACCTCGAGCCACGCATACATACCAGCATCTTACTTCTAAAGCGAACCATAATGTCCCACGCTTTGTCTAAGCCCGTATTCGTGAGCGAAGATAGCATTTGCACCTGATAGATAGAAAGATGGTAGGTAACAGGTAGTTGGTATATCGCAGCCTTACCGTCTGAAACAGACCACCTCTAATTCCTGTATTTGTCACAGTGCCTTCTCTCTACACAAATACATCAATACAACGACGGGATGCGGCACCAAGGGAACCTCTGACAAGGTGTACCGCCAGCGTAAGCTAAGGCAAGCTGGCCAGCAAGTACAGCCCTTGCGGCCAAATACGAGCGCCACATTCGCAAAATACACATCCATGACAACCCACACATACAGATACGACAGCTTACCACGTACGTAACGACAACCAATCGCGATTTCAGGTGTACGCACTACAGAACTGAGCTGGTTACGCCTGATGATACCACACAACATAACCGAACAAGCCCCGTAAAAAAAAACTACTCTAATCTCATTCGTGAACATGCCCCAGCGTGCAAGCATCCATTCGAATATGAACTCGTCCCCCACATCACACATCCCGGCATCTACACATCAGCCTACAAGGCATCCCATTCATAAGAACCCGCCAACAGTGAAGACACACACCTTGGGCTTCCAATTGTGACTCTGCGGCCTGAGTATCTTGAGGGCCCCGCGAATTTCAGCGGTGGACCGGGTGGCAGCGGGTACCAGATCACCATCAGCCTTGTTCACCAACACCACCTGTGCGATCTCCACTATTCCGCGCTTGATACCCTGGATACGAAGAGGCTCAGCGAAGTGGCCAAGAACACGATCAGATACTTTGGTTCCCAAGGGGTTACACAAGTTGCACACATCGCTTCGGCTCGGTATGTCAAATATGTGCAGACTGTCAGCTTGACCCTTATAGAACGGGGTCTGCTATTCTACTAGATGCACAAAACCGCGCTACTTGAATGCGTGACGATATGCTCACCTCATGTCGAAGACATTCATGTCGAAGACATTTATGTCTGTTATGCAGCTTGTGCGCTGCTTGAGGTAGTTACCGTAGTGATCTCTAGCTGGTGTCGGTGGTGCGGGTGCCATAACAATGACGTGGGGCGAATGTTTAGCCTACTTCAATGGTGTGGTGAGTGGATGATGATACCACTACTGAGCAACGCGAGGGTTTTAATTATGTGCGTGTCAGTACAAGCATTTGATGTGCGTACCTGTAGCTCGTCCCCTGCAGCTGGCGGCATAAGCAAACAGAAGAGATCGACCATGTCCGCCACTGTTGTCTCGGATTGACCGACTCCCACGGTTTCAACAATGATAATGTCATACCCGGCGACTATATAGGGAAGTGTATGTGGAATATGAAAAAGAAATGAGGTGAGCATCTAGAGCTCAATGGCCAAAACTTTCATATGATGCAACTGTGATGACTTGTTAACGAAAGCAGCATTTACATTAACAGTTGACAACTTGTGGCACTACACATTTTATCCGCGAGGTCTGTTCGAGAAGTGACAAAAGTATGACAAAAGAAATCGGGGTACATTGCTCGATGCAACGAACTTGTGTAAATATTGTGTTATCTGCATCTGCTTTCTGGCTACACGGCCAATATGAAATAAAACCATCGCCCCCACAAAATACCTTTCCAATCAAAGTTCACAAAACTATGCGAAATACAAGAGACATGTCTAGAACTTACTTACACCGTGAATATCCTCCGAGTAGCTTCTGAATATAAAAGGGTACTCCCCACCTAAACCATTGTCGCCTTGACTAGTGAAATGAAATATGCACTTACCTTCACAGAGAGCGATCGCCTCCGTGGTATTTCTCGCCACACCGCCTGAAGAGATTGTAAATTCGAAGAAAAATAATGAGATTTTTCATTTCACTGAAACGAGTCAATTTAGTGACCAAAATCATACAGGTATATGCTTGAGGATGTACACTCAAAAGGTATTACTATTCCCGCGCCATATAGTGAAAATAGATAGCGAACATAACGACAGTACACACAGCGATGTACACGCCAGAGAAAAAAAATCGCGGAACATACCGAGTGTACACCTGGAAGGTGAGGGACGGATGTACGCATTCGGGTTGTTGGTGAGCTTCTCCATGCGTGTCTTGTCGCCGAGAATGGAACCACCCGTGCGGGTACTGGAGGGATCTACAGCCTATATTGAACCAAATGACTGGTGAGAGAGATGCAGGTCGTTCACATATCGTCGAATATCGGTAATGAACTATCGACGAGTTGTTACTGTCGAAAGCGCGCATGGGTGCGTTCGCTATAATTCGTGACTTTTGCGCATGGTAGGCAAATGCATGCCCATCCCTAAATCTAGCGACTGCATGGATAGAGACGACTATTCAAAAAAAAAAATACGCGTGAATCTTGTGCATGACATCTCACAAACACGTTTAGACGGGCGTGGGAGGTCACCAGGCAACGATCAGTATACCCGTTATATAGCTGCTTCAAGTTTACTCTGAACTTGAATAGCACTGCGACGGCACCCAGTCATGACACAAATTCTTATTACTGGTCTATGCTATAATGCCCCAAGTTTTAAACTTACCAAAACGGCCAATTTGTATCCCTTGTCGGTGAGAAGCGACCCGAATGCTTCGATGAAGGTTGATTTTCCAGCGCCTGGTGCGGAAAGTATAGTTGCATTCGAAGAATAGGTATAAGACATTACGTAAGTAAGATTATGCTGGTAGGTTCGCGTACTGAATATATATAGAGCTCTGCCTAGCAATCGATTGTATCTCTGTGTGACGGCAAGATACCAATTTAGCCAGCGCACAACCCGAGCACACTGTGGCTTTATAATACTCACCCTTACCAAGCGGAACAAGTAGTGAAACATGGGTATGTCAATCAACGCATGCACCTGTCACGCGTCTAAAAGTGCTTTCGGGAGAAGATAGCACTTGTTAAGTTATACTGGTACCTGACGCTTTGTTACCGGTGCTCCGCGCATGCTACAAGTACCTTACACGTCATACTGACATGCGATACATACCTGGGGGTCCAGACAGTCCGATGCGGAAGGCACCCCTTCTAATGTGCTTCTTTGCGTTGTGTCGCTCAAGAGCCTGTGAAATCAGGTTCTGCGCTTGTATCCGATGGTCTCTGACAGATGACTCCACTGGGGATTGGGTAAGGGCAGGAAAAGTTACCATAAGGGTTCTGAGTGAGCATTGGTGGCTTTGTACGGGTAGATGCCCATGCTCATTCCATAATGGTCGAGTATGAAGACTAAAAACATTAATATGGTTACAGATTTGAAGGGATGCCCTTTAGGTGTCGCAAATGGTGTACTATGTGCACAGTACTATCTCAACTTTACATGCGTGAACACAAACTGTGTGATTTGAGACACATTCTCTACACAAGCTTCGTGAAATCAGTTGACAAGGTGGTGATGAATTGTCAGAACAGTCGATCCGTCTTGAACCTGGTTGATTCACAAAGCAAGAAACCACATAGTGTACTCAAACTACCAGCTGTGTGAAAGGTCGCAAATTGATCTGTGCAATGTATATCAGAATCCAGCATGCGGTCATCCAGTAGCGATGGCATTGGCTTCGCAGGATCATAATTTCATTGGGTTCGCCGAAAGATATAGCATCATGAGGTAACCACCCCCAATGTCACGCACAATACAGCTAAGCTAGTTTTCCTGTGTTTCTAGCATCCTGATACACCTTCCGATAGCTATTAAATCACACAAGGAGCACGAATACCATTCCAAGACGCTGAACATAGTGATGATTACAATGCTACACTATACTAAGAAGCACCTCATAAACTAGCTAAATCGGTTATAGCTTACCAAGAGTTATCGCCTGAGATAGCCAGCTACGCTCTCCCTTCAGAACCCCTTCTAGCATTTTGTTCAAAAATTCTTTTCGTTTCTCGGACATGGGTTTGGGTTCTGAAAATCTGGGTACTGTACGCTCCTCTTCAACATTGTACCTGATCGGATGACTTGTAGTGTGAGAGTGCGGATCGCTCATACTGTGCCTCTACCGTCACATGAGTTCCAGGCGTGACGTGAAGATGTAAAAAATCTGACTGTGAGGTCCTACAGTATACTATAAGAACATTTCTCTAATTCGTATGTATATATATAT